TGCATTTGCTTTCTTCATATGTTTTTCAGACGTTAAGAGTTCAGAAAAACACAGGTAGTCCTCGACTTACAACCGTTTGTTTAGTGATCATTCAAAGTTACAACTGCACTGGAAAAAGTGACTTAGGACTGTTTTTCACACTTACAACCATTGTAGCATGCCCATGGTCACGTGATCAAAATTTGGGCACTTGGTAATTGGCATGTATGTATATGACAGTTGCAGTGTCCCAGAGTCACAATTTGTGACTTTCCCAGCTAGCTTCTGACAAGCAGAGTCAGTGGGGGGAGCCCCATAATTCACCTAACCCTTAACAAATGTGGCAAAAAAGGTCATAAAAAGAGACACAATTCACTTAACAACTGTCTTGCTTAGCAACAGAAATTTTGGGTTCAATTGTAGTCACAAGTATACTATATTCTACGGGTCTATTTTTTTCTTTCCAGACTTTTTCCCCACCCAACATTCATTTCAGTTTTTTTTTTTTATTGCAACAATCAGTTCAATTGGAAGGGGAGTTGAATCCATTCATTTGGATTAAATTGCAATGATATAACTAACACTTTTTGACATGGATGGGATTGCATATAGGTGGGTGGTTTCTGTCTACATTATTGAAGCGTGTCATTTCTTGTGAGTTTACCGAAAATATTGTTCCCTTTCTAAATGTAGCTGTATGGCCATTTAAAACTCAAGTGATGTCCTTTAAAATTTTATCCAGAAGATATAATCAGGAACAGAAATTCAAAAAGATCAAATTTCTTAAGGAATCCAGGTTACAGTCTAACAAAACTCATGCTCTAATAAGTAAGATTTTTTTTCTAAAAATTGAAGATAGCTACATTTCTGGAAATATTACAAGAAAATTATGTTCTATTGTCCAGGTATCACGACAGTATTAACCATGACAACTCTGAGCACCATTGCAAGAAATTCCTTGCCACGTGTTTCCTATGTCACTGCAATGGATCTTTTTGTGACCGTATGCTTCTTATTTGTCTTCGCTGCTTTGATGGAGTATGCAACCCTGAACTACTACTCAAGTTGCAGGAAGCCACACTGTGCAAAAAAGAAAAAGTCGGTAAGATAAAGCCTATTGAAAATGGAGCACAATTCTTCTGCATTATCACATAGATAAGTAATTAATTGGATTTAGACGTTAAATAACCACTTTGGCTAATGCTGTCTAATAGGAGTTCGCTGTAAGTGTCCTTTGTCCTAGAAATTCACTGAAATTAGTGCACTGAAATGCTTTCACCACATTTATTTTATTCTTTTTCATTTTATCCCAACTGAAAGTGTTGGTCATGAGATATGCAGCAGTATAAATATGATTGATTGATAAATGCCTCTAGTATTTTAAGGTACTATACAGAAATTCAGGGATCTGTATATGTAATGTAAAATGACCATGTCTAATAAATTATTGAATTAATTATAACAAATTCATAAATTAGAATAATGACAGTGGATCATCAAACTGACAAGGGTCTGGTCTTACAGGTAGTAACTGTTCAGTTCAGTCATGCCTCTACTGACAACCTTGCATTTAAATTCTACAAGGATTTTACTCAAGCTAAAGCCCAACTGCTAGCAACAATTGCATTATTTTGAAGTTGTTCCTTGCAAAACTTAATCTGTAAATAATACTAATATCGACCATGAGAATCAACAATGATTTGATGCCACATATTCAATCAATGTTAATATAGTTTTAAAACAAAGAAAATGTTTTAAAAGTAGAAAAACAGCAAATTCCTGGCTTTGCTCATAAATGTATAGCCCTGTAAATTTCCATTCTTTTCCTGCTTGTTGCAACCTTTCCATCTTTATAAAACATGAATGTGAGATTGCTCACATCTGACTCCAAATAAAGTTTAGCAGACCCTTAATTAGTATTGATGTTCATACAAATAGAAATGACCAGGCTATTAAAGCCCCATGATACAATGCTGCAAAATGTGATGATTTTGTAGTTAACTAGAACCTATAATACAAACCTGGTTTTTTTTTCTTTGTTTGAACTAGTAGAATTTACTCCCATAGATCACTTTCCTGTTATCTAAAAAAAATAAGAAAAAAATAGCTACTTTGTTTTAAATCCCAGGTAATATATTCATTTATGCTCTGTAGGCAAGAAATCAATATTTGAAAACTCACTTCTACTTGAAACCAATACAAGGGTTAGAATTTGGACTGGTATTGGGGTTAGGTTTACAAAAAAATTGGTGGGGAACCACCTTTTTCCTTGTGCTAATTGCAGCTACAGGTGAATCATATGGCTTGCTCTGCTGAGTTGAAGGTCACAATTTAAGCAATTCACAATGATATGCATGAAAAGGTAAAAGCGTATATGTTGTCTTGGATCTTGTTGCATAAAGTGGATACTTATCAGAAATAAATGGGATAAGATAGGGCAACTCTGTTCATGTTTACTCAATAGTAATCTTTCTGAATTAATGGAAGTAATCTTTTATTATTTCCTTAATAATTGAAATATCAAAAATGTATTATTTTATAACTTGTGTTCTTATACTTTACTTTTTTATTTATTTGAGCTGCCTGATGTCAGCTTTGGTCACATGATGGTGAGTATGAATATTTTAAAACTTAGATATTTTATTTGTAAACATCTTATATTAAATACCATTATAATTTTAATTAAACAACTATTATTATTGCTCAGTCTTAAAGAACCATGCCATCATAGTACGTCTTAAATCTGTATGTTCCCCTTACCTTTTCACATTGGGAAATCAATAAAATTGCCTTTGGGTTTTTGGGTAGTTTTCAAGTGCTACCTATAATAGCAATAGCACTTAGACTTATATACCGCTTCCCAGTGCTTTACAGCCCTTTCTAAGTGGTTTACAGAGTCAGCATATTCCCCCTAATGATCTGGGTCCTCATAAATCCCTGATTCAACAAAAAGATTGCAACACAACATTTGTTTTAGACTTTGCCCATCCCTGTTCTGTATCTGTTTCCAGTCACTGCTTGATGTCAATGCAAGAAAATGTCTGGCAGAGCCTAATTCAATTTATACATTTTGAGGTTCCCCGTGCATGGAGGTAGAATAAGAAGCAAAATATTTTCTTAATACCAGCCCAGATACTGAAAATCTGGCATATGTCTGTCTCACCTGTACACTGAAGCCAAGGGGAAGAAAAGCTCATGGGAACATGGCAGAAAATAGGTGTCCTTTTATGTTTCTTTCATAGTGGTTTGCAAATAGGGAAAGCTCCTTTAAATCTGAGTGCCATCCAGAAAAAAATTGTGTTGGATACTCCACCTTCCAAAACCTACTTCCACTCACCAAAATATACTCTTCTATATTTCGCTGCTTTGTGACATCCAGATGTATGTATCTTGGCATATAAAGTGTCAAAGGAAAGCTGAACAACATGGTTTCCTTGGATTGCCTGTATTGGACGCAGGACACTTCAAGATTCCTGTGGTTGCCATAGTACAGCCTCTTTGTCTCTCTCTCTTTTTTGTTTTTTGTTTTGCAGAATTACTCTGTGTTAGAGATGAGACCTCCCCCTACAGTCATCGCACTGAACAATGCCATGTACTGGCAAGAATTTGAAGACAATTGTATCTATGAGTGTCTGGATGGGAAAGACTGTCAGAGTTTTTTCTGCTGTTATGAAGAATGCAAATCGGGTTCCTGGAGGAAAGGGCGGATACACATAGACATCTCAGAACTTGACTCTTATTCCAGAGTCTTTTTCCCTACATCGTTCCTGCTTTTTAACCTGGTCTACTGGGTTGGATACCTCTATCTCTAGAAAACTGTGAAGAAAACTGTGTTTTTTCCTACTTCTTATGGATGGGGAATATGTGAAAAGACGGATCCTGAATGGTTTCATTTGAAAGCCTGAAAAATCGACTTACTTTTTCTCATTCAAGAAAAAGAAGTTTTTATTTATTGTTTTGTCTAAAAGAAAAAAAAAAGTCACTTCACATCTGAGATTTTTTGCTAACTACACCTGACACAATCACGTAACAATGTTTATCTTAATTGTTCTCATACAATGGAGAAATTGCTGTTTTCTTTGGGTTACAATTATCTATGTAGCATACAGATAAGCAAGACAGGGGTGTTTTGAATAGTCATTCTTACGTTACTTCTGTCTCTTAAACTTGTTCTGGAAGCAAATTTGTATTTGTACAAGTTCTCCACAACTTTGTTTTGAGGAGAATCTGAATTCAATGAAAAGTCACTTCAGTTCACTTCACAGGTTTCAAGATGTTGTTTCTGGTCTTTTTCAGAGATGAAAAAGCATGATGTCAAAAAAAAACAAAACCCTTTACATTTGTTTTTCACAAAATTGTTGATTTTTTTTCTTTTTTTAAACACAGAGTTTAATATTCCACATATTGGGCAAATACTTCAGAATTGATTTCTGGAATAAACCTCTTGCAATGCTTAGTTTGCTTTCGGTACTGTGTAAGATGACTTTCTATGTAATAGTAGTGGAAAGGTACGATTCATTCCAAGCTATAAGGTTAGTTTTTTCCATACTTTTACTATTTGTTTTCACTGATATTTTCAGGGTAAAAAAGCCCTCTAGTTCCAGCCTGAATAAGATCTACTGTATCTGTGCTAATTAAAATCCATGTGCCTCAATCCCTGTTCTGTGTAAGTTAAATTGCACATCCTATTTTTGCACCATTTGACTTGTGAACTGGATTCTTTCATTTAAATGACTGCAGAAGTCCTTGTTGTTAGTATTCTCACCTGGTAAGTGATCTTTGGATGGCACAACAGTGGCTTTTGTTCTTACCAGATCTGTAGGAGCCTTAAGGATGCAGATAGGATTTTCTTGACAAGAAAATGAGATATTGGGAGTTCAATTAAAAGTTAAAAAATTTAGTGACGCAGAATCACTAGGACTTTTTTTTTAACTAGGAGATTTTAAAATGGAAAATGTATTTTGTACTTTTGGAACACATTTCAGATATTAAATTCCTGAAAATAATACATTCTTCTGTTGTAAAATATTCATTATAGACAAGTCCAATTCTAGAAGGCTAATGTAAATGTCTCAATAGTTATTTATTTGATTATTTATTTGTATTTCTACTGCAAACAGCATATCTACTGTTAAAAAAACTTTGTTCTCCCTGCCTCCTTTCAAACTCTAAGCATAACAGTACTTTTAAAAGTGTAGCTGATACCATCAAATGCCTTTTTTTCCCACTGTCAACCTGAGGACTCATTTTATGTGCTCCAAATATTTAAGTACCGTGCACATTTCATTTTGTTTTATATTGTCTCATTTTTCCTTGGAAAAATTAAGAACTTATTTATTCAAAGAAATGAATATTTAATATCAAAGGAAAGGAAAGTATTATTGTTTGGTAGTTAAATATGTTTTCTATGAAGAGGGTATAAGTTTCAATTCTGGCTTTTTCAGATACAGCGGAAAAGAACTTCTGAACCACATAGAGATCTGCTGTTATTAAAACATGGCAGTTAGTTAGACCAATGAAGATTTTATCTAAAATAAAGATGCTTCTACTGTCTATTACATATTCTAAATTCAGTTTTAGTAGGTAATGCTGCAGAATTGTAAATGCTAATTCAGTAAGATTGCTGGGTTAAAAAATGTACTAAAATTTACCAAAAGCTTTCTAAAAATATACTTTTTTATTTTAGATGGGGGAAAGAATTAGCACACAATTTATTAACAGACATTGAAGTCTTTCAACTTAAATATGGATATCAGATTTTTTCCAGTTCATTTCTTCTCAATTTTTATGAAACTTCAAGAACCAAAGTATTTTTTTTTCAGAAAGATGTGTTTAAAAATATATAGTAAAACTCATAGTAAATACAAGGCACTGTTACAAAAACAAAGAATTACATGCAATAACCTATGGCCTATGTAAATAGGAGAGGTTTTTTTTGGCAAAGGATCCTGTAAATCCTCAGCTAATGAAGTTATATTGAACTTACTGCTTGTTGGTATCAGGATTGGACTTTATTTTTAGGATACTGCAAACTTAATTTGTTTAAACTAACTGGAAAGATGACACAGAGATAGAATAATTGGTGAGAACGGTCACACCGTAGATAAAATGGCATTCTTTGTATGCAATTTTATAACATATATAACCAGAACACATATTTCATAGGATAGGATTTGTATATTTGTCTCACTTTCCATTGTATATCATCTAAACAAGACATTTGATACAATCAAACAGAAAATAAAGTTATGCCCACCCTCCTGGTCTCTGAAATCAAAGCAGACATATTAGTTTAGCCAAACTATTTTGTATATGTCTTGGTTAGTGTGAATGATATAAAGGTTTTATTTCATGAACTCTAAAATCAGATATAGACAAGTTGAACATAATTCACAACCTAATCAGACATTTTGGGATTCAAAATATTTTGAAAATACTTTTCTTCCAAGGAGTGTTGAAAAGTAGCAAATTTATTATTTATTATTTTTCAGAGGCAGTATGAGTGCAGCTGTCATTTGTTGAGCGGTGCTAATCAAAATGTACATACACAATCAGTGGCATTCCTCATTTTCAGACTTGACATTCCTCATTTTCTGATTAACTCATGGGTGGAATCCAGACACGTTTCAATACCATTGGTTGCATTGCAAATGATTTATATTTCCATAGCAATCAACTCTTTTTCTTCAGCATTTTCTTCTTATTTTTAGAAGCAGCTCACTGTTCCATGAACATTTTTTGTGATCTTCAATAGCCAATATGAATTATTCTTTTTTAGCATCCACAAGGCAAGTTTTAGGACAGTGATCTGTGAACAAAGTGCTATTGTTTCACAAAAATGCAATTGATGCCAGTATTGTTTATTTTTATTGTCTTATGAAACACTTCTCCTTGAGGAGTACAAACAGCCACAATTGAACAGATGGAAACAAATTATGAAACTTTTCAATTAATTTATAAAGGCTCCTTATATAGTAATGGCTTTAGATTTTATTATTTTTCTATTTTTCCCACATAATATAAAGGATCCCTTTTTATTTATTATTAATGCTATTTATTTAGAAATTTGTCTACATGGTCACTGAGAATCAATACTGACTTAATGGTACATAGTCAAACATAATCATTACTTAGAGAATGCATTATCTAATTTTCATCATTAATAAGCAATCTCAACCTTGTGGTATCAAGATAAAAAAATATTTTACAGCTTAAAACCATAATAAAGGATAGCAAGAATGAAAACCCAACAGCAAGAGTAATTAACACTGACGAGTCTTCAGCTGATCTGAAAGCTTTCAAAGCTTGGCGTTGGTCCCAATGAACAGGAAGAGGATGCCATGATTGGAATATCTTTCTCTAAAAGAGACATGGAGAATCTTTCTTGATCACACTCGCCATTGAGTAGTATACCAGAGGCCAGGGTCCAAAAGGTGATCAGAAAAAGTAGATGACTTCAGAACAAAACTCAAATTTAACAGAGTTAGTGTTCTTATTCTCATGAATTTAATAAATCCTGCACATTAAACTTGATATTTGGGGCTTCATATGTTCTCTGCCAATTAACCTAATCCAGAATGCTGCATTCATACAGCACAGTTCTTGATTATTGGTGCAAGTTCAGGATCCAGTTACATTTTTTTTGGTATCAAGCTTTTTTTTTCTTTGCTAAACTACAACTGTTGAGTACCTTGTAAGTAAATGATCTTGACCTACTTCATCCTTCTGCAATCTGATAACTCTATAATGAATTAAAACATATTCCTCATCATCCCAGCCAGCATTGTGTCTGCCATTCAGACTAGAATTAAGGAAGTTGGTTTTATATGCAATTAATGCTTTACAAGTAATATTGGCAGCCTCTGTTTGTCTGTTAATGTTTGTTTATTCATTTATTTATTTATATACCATATGTTCCAAATCAACAAGCTGGTCCCCCACAATTAAACACAAAAAGGAAAGAATACTTAGTCTGAAGATGTACAACTTTGATCCATTGTGAATTTTCAAATAAGCTATTTATAGTTATACTATCAAATTGAGCATTTGTTGAGCACTTACTGCCTTGTAGAAGCACTCACATCTTTACAGGATTCACCTATTCAATTATCCTGACCTTAGGTCTTAATCTAATGCCCTCCCCCCAACAGTAAATAAAAATGGGTTGATTCATAAAGATTATTAAAAGTTAATGACACTACACAATATCCTATAGATTTAGGAGTCTGGGTGGAACTCAGAAATAACTTTCTAGAGTAAAAATACAGTTGTCCCCTTAATTTCAATGAACTACCAAGGAAATTACACTAATTAAATGGTGCTATAGCCATGTCCCAAAAGCTAAAATGCTGTACTCTTACTTTACATAGCCTTTCTTTATGTTACATCTGAGTTAAAGAGTTGAATTTTGTTTTGTTCTTATTTCAGACAACTTAGAGATGCAAAATAAGGAACCAAAAGCAAACTATCAAACCCAAATCGTTTTTTAAATTCACAAGTTTTGCAAAAACTTGCAAAGAATTTCCAAATATTTTTTAAAGTGAATTAAATAACTTACTATAATATTTGCACATGGAACAAATTCCATTGCTAAAACAAATGTGAGGCTAGGCAAGTATACTAAACACATTACATGCAAGTAAGTGATAAGTTGAAATATGCTCTTTGGCAGAATTGAAGCCTAGTTCCTTTCTATTACAGTCTCCAAGTCTCTGCATTATGCAACTATCACAACAGAGGGAGCCTTTCCTTCTGCCTTCTCTCTAGCACTGATGCAATCTCCTAATTGACCTTATCATGGCACATCATGCCA